ACTAGGGGCTCCTGGCATTACTAGTAGTAACAAGAAGCTACTAGTAGCAAAGGGCATCGCTCCTAGGAGCAAGGACGCTACTAGGGGCTCCTGGCATTACTAGTAGTAACAAGAAGCTACTAGTAGTATTCTTTGTGGTTGCGTCAGAATGTTGGGTCAGTGAGTGACGGCGGAACCTCCCATCCCCTTAACCTCAGGAACGAACAAAGCGCAGGGACACGCAAGGGGAGGAGCCACAAAAGACAAAAAGGAGTGCAAGTGAAGGAAGGAAGTAAGGAAGGAAGGAAGATGGGTGGGATGCACAGCAAGAGTAAGAACACCACACAGCCAACCAAAGAAAGGAAAGTTTGGCTGGTCTGCATGCTAAAATCAGGATGGTTCCCCAATATCTCCCCACATAGAGCATAGATCACCCTCAGAGTGACAGCTCTTCTCGCCTGGCCTTAAGAGTAGAGAGCCAAGACGGAGGTCATGGAGTGCACGTCGTGCTCTGCTTGAGGTGCCTACGAAAAGAACACATAGGTTTCTTTTTTGAGCCAGCAAAGATACATTGCGAAAAGGGAAAAAATCAAAAGGAAAGAGAGCGGATGAATTGGATGAATCAATCGAGAACTGTGAAGTGTTGATACGGGGAATGATACGGTGCGATACCCACAATGTGAAAGAAGTGGCTTGGACACGGTGCGAAGTCTGAGCCTCATCGGCAACCACGACAGGAACTCCCTTGGTAGGCCCAAGCTCGCCATGAGCAAACATACCGAAGAGAGGCACCTTGGGACAGTTCATGGCTTTCGAACACTCTTCTAGGAAATCTAGAGTGTAAATCTGGAATCTTAGTCTTCGAAGTCTAGAGTCTAAGTGAAGTCTTGGAAACGTGAAAAAACATTTCGAACCTCAGGACTTCTAAGGCTACTAGGAGCAAGGACGCTACTGGGGGCTCCTGGCCTTTGGCTGATTCGTTTTGAGATTCTTCAAAAACGTCCCCAGCTCAGGCCGTCGCACCATCTAATCCTCCACCTCGGATGTTGTTCACAAAAAACATTTCTTGGCAGAGAAGTGGCTCATTCGAATGAGGCAGGTTTCCTAATAGCACCCAACCAATCTGAGCACCCAGCGTGCAAACGCTTCAGGCTCTACTCCATCTGCATTGTATTTGTTGTAGCCTCTGCCTCGGTTTTCTAGTGACATTTGGGGGTACTTTTCCTGTCTCATTTGAGGTTGCAATTAGCAAGACTTTGAACACTGGGCCACCACACAAAAGCAGGGAAAATATCCTGCAGCTTTCGCCTTCGAAGGCAATTCTTTTGTTGCGCCAGCAGCCACCTGAAGAACTTGATTCAGATTCCAGACTGAAGAACTTTTAAAATATGATAACTCTCAAACACTTCATTCCAGAAACACACGCCTCCCCAGCATCGTCTCCGTCAAAGCTCACCACGGAGGACACCGTGGAGGACGACACCTCGTCGACACCCGCGTCGCTCGTCCGGACTGACTCGGTCGTGGCGCTGGGCGTCCCGGGCGACGAAGTCGTCCACCTCCACCAGGTCACCGGAATGCTCCAGCTTGTAACAGGCCTAGGAGCAATGTTGGCCACTAGGAGCAAAGGGCATCGCTACTAGGGGCTCCTGGCATTACTAGTAGTAACAAGAACGCTACTAGGGGCCTGAAGCACCAACGGAGGAAACACCACAGAGGTCCGAACGGGATGTTACCATTGAAAAGGTTTGCTGAGATGGAAAATGGACAGCCAAGAAAAAGGAACGAACAGCACCCCCAAAGGCCCCCTTTTGGTCAAGCCCTTTAGCCACACATTCGATCGATTTGATCTTGATTTCTCACATCTGACACAGCTCTCTTGTGTGGCATCGCAACATGCTGCAAAACTGCTTGGCTGGAGCGAGTTCTTTTCGGCGCGTGCAGATCGTCGTCCACAGTTGTTGAGGGCTATGGCATGTGTCAAACAAACATTGGGCAGCAAACAATGCTCACATGGGGCCACTGGAAAAACAAGAAGATCAATGAAGCGCAAGCAAATCCAGGTCAAGAACACATCATCATGCCTTTCCCTCTAGGTCCAATCTCGGCCTATGCCGCAGAACCTTCAGCAAGTCTTCTCGAACTTCTGGATCACCTCTGCACCACAACAGCAATGAAAGTGTGCCCTCCAGGACTCCTTACTAGTAGCAAAGGGCCTCGCTACTAGGAGCAAGGACGCTACTAGGGGCTCCTGGCCTTACTACTAGGAGCAAGAACGCTACGCACGTAACAAGAAGCGCTAGAGAGGGGGGTAGGCCGCTAGGAGGGAGACGTAGCTAGTAGCTTAAGTAGCTACTACCGACAGGACGCAGGATAGCTCGGTTGAAGAAGCGCTCGCACGAATGATTTGGTTCCTAGATTTGGGGGAAACTTAACTGGTAGTAAGGCCAGGACTAGTAGCGTCCTTGCTCCTAGTAGCGATGCCCTTTGCTACTAGTAGCTTCTTGTTACACATTCTTGTAAATATTACCACAAATGCCATCATCACAACCCATGGCGCGTATATACTGTACATGAATCAGCTGAGATGTACTTTTCGCAAGAATTACAAGCTCAAAGAATCAATAAGCCTTCCTGGTACCAATCCACAAAAGCAAGCATTCACATCCCAATCATAAGCAATACAAACTGCCGGCAAATCTATACGTGCAGACGTGCACATCTTACTCACTCTTCAGCTTTTTCGATGCTTTTGGCACCCACAAACTTTGTTTCGAATGACTTCACGTGTGAGTTGTTCCACGAGAAACCTGTGCAGGTCCCGGAAACAAGGAGTAACAAGAAGCTACTAGCAGCAAAGGGCATCGCTACTAGGAGCAAGGACGCTACTAGGGGCTCCTGGCGTTACTACCAGGAGCAAATAGCTACGAACGTAACAAGAAGCGCTGTTTGCAGGTTCGAAGACTTGATGAGTTGGACAGGGCAGGACGAACACGCTTTCCCGACAAACACCCGCCAAACACACAGCCAGCTGGGGTGGGGCTGGGCCCACCCCTTTGCCCCGAGAACCATGGAAGAGGTGCGTTGATCAAACATTGACCCAGTTGTTGCAAATGGACACCTCAGAACTGTGATTGCAGCCTAAATGACAAGCTCAAAGCAATGAAGTTGTTCCGCTGTACACGCGCTGTTCCATGATTTACCGTTCTCTTGGCTTTTCGTTTCAGCAAAACCTGATATGTCCTCTTTGTTTCTCCCTGAGCTTCGCCACGCCAAGGTACTCCGAACAGATGCATAGGCGCGGCAGCTAGTTGTACGTGATCTCCTGCCAACACCGCACTCTCTGCGAAAAGTGCGACGCCGCGTGATCTACGTAGACGCTACCAGGGGCTCCTGGCATCGCTACTAGGAGCAAAGAAGCTACTAGTAACAAAGGGCATCGTTACTAGGAGCAAGGACGCTACTAGGGGCTCCTGGCCTTACTACTAGGAACAAGAACGCTATAGTATTACTCTATTCCTCAGGCGAATATGGAGCAAGCGATGGACGGAGTGCTGAGTGACGTGTCGTGTTTGCGAAAATCACCCTCCAGTGTTTCCGTGTCTTGTGGGTGAGGCATGCAAGCTAGCACAGTAAACTGAAATGCTCAACCTGCAATCTCTTCAGCTGTCCTCAGCGCTTGCGTTGATGTAGACGTTGAAGAGCAGCTTGTTGCCGGTCTGCAATGATGCCCAAGAAACAAAAATTTGCTTTGGCACCACAAACTGGTGTGACATCAAAAGGGTCACATCATCACATCTGTTTTTCTCTATCTTGGCATACACTGATGGGGTCCAATTCTACCAAAAGAGGAAGCTTGAATATTCAGAAATGTCACTAAAGAGCTTGGATGCAAAAAGAACGACCCATCCACCACGACCCGATTTCAACCAGACAAAATGAGAGGACCGAGGTAGACCGAGATGCTAGGTTTGGAGTCCATCACTATGAGAAATGCTTTTTTGTCGCTCACCTTTGAGCTCGGACGCCACAGGCTGCGCCACTCGGCCTGGGGTCTTTGGAGTGTGCATTTCACAAGGAAGGTGGGTCACTCGGCGTCAAGGCCTAGGCGGCCTGGGTGTGGAGCTTTATAGGAAAACCGAACATTGCTGGGTTCCATTCGGAAGACAGACCAAGACCACCAAGACCAGCAAGACCTACCCATTAAATTTCTTTTGAATACACACAGCCCATAGAATTCATTGCAAGGATTCTTAAGGGGAAGTGCAAACCTACACCAACCAAACAGAACAGGTGGCATCAGGTGGTGTCGCAAGAGTGCCACACCATCCCCGACTTAGGCGGAAGAACATGCCAAGAAGCGTTTCTTTTTTCTTCCGAAATCGTCGTACTCCTCACTCTCACTGTTCCATTCCTTACTGTTGCAGGATGACGTCTGACAATTGCAGAAGGAATAAATAGAACACACCCACTTCGGCCAATTTTTCCGCTAGTTCTGCATCTGGTCCTTCGACTCATCGGAAATCCAAAAGATTGATTGAAGATTCGGCGTTCGAATCCTGGCTACTAGTAGCGTCCTTGTTCCTAGTAGCGTTCTTGCTCCTAGTAGTAAGGCCAGGAGCCCCTAGTAGCATCCTTGTTTCTAGTAATGGCCTCCACCTAGTAGCGATGCCCTTTGTCCAAGCCACCCGCTTGTCCTCCTTCTCATTCCGCTCCTTCCATCCACCGCCTTTTCCAATTTCACCCTCCTTGGCCCGAAGCCTCAGAAGCCGAGGCCACAGGGTGTTTGACAACGAACAGGCGCTAAGTGCAAATTGAGGGGGTCTTGAAAACACAAAGCGCTCCAAGAAGCTCTTGGCGGGTGGCTCGCTGCTCAGGACGCAAAATCTCGCATTTGCCTCAGCAGAATGCATGACAATTGATCCTGTCTTCCTACATGTCAAATCTAGACTGAAAAATAACACACCAAGGTTGGCGATGTTGCAAATATATGCAAATATGGAAGGCTGAACAAGGTTATGAGGACTCATCTGTAAGGTTTTCTCCTTACTCCTTGCGGGCCAGCGTGTTGGTGTTAGAGGGCTAGCCAGGCTAGCACCCTCCAACGCTTGCGGGAGAGGTCTGCAGTATCGAGTTGCGTCCTCCTCACTCCAAAGGAGTGGCCGGGCAATGCTTAAGAACAAGGACCCTACTAGTAGCAAAGGGCATCGCTACTAGGAACAAGAACGCTACTACGGGCTCCTGGCCTTACTACTAGGAGCAAGAACGCTACTAGTAAATGCAAAATGGCGCAAGGAGACGTCAAAAATACTGACCAATGAGCGTAGCTAGTAGCGTCCTTGCTCCTAGTAGCGATGCCAATTGTTCCTAGTAGCGTCCTTGTTCCTAGGACCACTGAGTCGCTTGAACGACACGAGCAAAACCCACACACCTTCGGGTCCTCTTGCGTTTTCGCCACGTCTCGAAAGACGTCGGACGGTCCGACGAACAACGGCCCAATACTAGAAGGCGATGCACTTGTTTCTAATAGCTAACATTGTTACTACATATCACCTACCTTAGACCACCTCACCGTACCACCCACCCTCAATTAATAAAAATAATCCAGGTGGTCACACCCTCTGTGCAGAAATTAATGCAAGGTGTCACAAGGTGTCATCCAGCTTGAAAAATAATTGGTCAATGTTGATACCCACCTCTTCTGGACTGTCAGAAAAAAATTAATCCAAAAAAAATAATCCATACACACACCCCACCCTCGATTAATATAGCTATGGTAGATGATATGTTACTACTAGTAAGGCACTTGTTACTACTAGCGATGCACTTCTTCCTAGTAGCTGATACCTCCCTTTGCCTCACCTGTCAAACAAGGGACTGCAGCGTTGGTAAAAGCCAGGCATTGCAGTGTCGCAGTGATCACAGATCCACTCTGCCATATCACACCTCAAACGTCATCTGTGCCATGCGTCATGTGCCAAAATCATGTTTCATTTTCCGGTGGGTGGACCCAAACAATCTCATTAGAAATAATCATGTGCCTTGGAGTCCAACATGCAGAGGTAAAATCTGTTCCAGATCGTGTTCAACATCCTAGTAGTAAGGCAGTAAGGCCAGGAGTCCCCAGTAGCGTCCTTGCTCCTAGTAGCGATGCCAGGAGTCCCTAGTAGCTTCTCGTTCAACGTGATTCTCTCTCTTTCTCCGAACTTGTGTTCCTGTTCATCACATCAGCCAGAATGCATGATCCCAATTTGATCGCGACGTTGTCCCTCTTTCTCCAAGGAGCTCGTCCCTGCCAGTCCGCAAGTTCTTCTGCTGATTGCCATTCAGGACCACTAAGCCTCAGAGATCATCAAATTCACGTTTTTCAAGTCAGGCTAAGTGATGCTTGAGGTCTGCTGAGTACTACTTAGTACCCTGTTTGCGGATTCTCCAGTCATCTGGGACAAGAAGCGGCTCCAAATCGAAAATAAAGAATCAATCTGCTGCACTCTCAACCTTGAATTTTCCGGACGCCTCTGGGTGTTCTTTTCTGATTCAAAGGGAGAAGCCGCCTTTTCTTTTTCGAATTCGATCTGCTCTGAGATCCTGCCGCGCGACTGTCCTTTGGCTTCTTCTTTCCTTTGGCCAAGTCCAGGGCAACAGCCTCCAACCGGATAACAACAAACCAAAAACTCGTCGTGTTTCGATTTTTAACATGAAGATTGCGGTTGGAATAGAGAATCGATTTGGGACATGGTTTGCATCAACGCCCAGCTGGGCCATTCTTTCAGGAGTCCGATGTTCTATAGTCATATCGACACGTGTGTGTGCGTAAGTGGGTGGCTCACTTCTCGGCTACACCACAAACCCACTGAATAAGAATTGACCAAACCAATGCATTGAGCTTTCTGCCACATGCCCACGGAGCTAGCTGCGGCTCGCTTCTCTCTGTGGAAGACTCAAAGACTCCAGAGCCTGCTGCCAACTGCTCATCCTTCACCTGTCAAATCCCCTATCACACTACGCCACTACGCCTTTCACAAGAATCCAACCAAAGCTGGCTTTACAATGGTTGCTCAACTCAAAGAGTGTTTCTCCTTCAACTCCAAAACCTCTGCACCAACCACCGGTTGCTGTCTGCCTTGGTGGCCTCCTACTAGCCAAGGCCTCCATTCTACTAGCGATGGTGGTCTCAACTTCTAGCTTCAAGCTGGAAACCCAAACAGAATCATCCTGGCCAAGCCTCTGTGGCACTCGAAACACGAACCCGCCCCCGCTGCGCCGGGTGAACCGGTGGGCACCCACCATGAACCCTCATGACGGCTGCGGTGATACAGCAACAAACAGTCGCGTCCTTGCTCCTTCGAAAAATCCGACAGCTTTCTACAAATTGTCATCAAAGTTGTCCCATTTATGAACAAGGCCACAGGTCGAACACCCGAAAAAAGAATGTGGACTTGCGTGAAAGAAAGAACAGTTAATAGACATGAAGGGACCAAATGCCACAACCGAAATTGGTCTTCAGATTGAGCTCATGGATCAACCAATGGCACATCGTGATGCATGGTTTTCTCCCGGCCATAAGGCGAATGGAGGACGAGTCGACGTCAGACGGGAAGTGTATTACACCTTTCTTCCTTTTCCTTGTTTCTACTAGCAATGGCCTCCTAATAGCATCCTTGCTCCTAGTAGCGATGCCAGGAGCCCCTAGTAGCGTCCTAGTGTTTCTACTAGCAATGGCCTCCAACCTAGGAGCAAACGAGTCTGACTCGGTCCCACCTTGGCATAGCCACCATAACTCACCCCGTCTGCTGCAGCTTCAAGCTCCGCCTGCCAGACGCATAGAGCGACGAATTCTGCCGGTGTGCTGATGCTCCACGGGCCTTTTCCCTAAAGTGCCACTTCATGTTGTTTGAAGTGGCATGGAGTGGCGTTGAGTGGCATGTGTTGGTTTTCATTGGCAAGGGATACGGTCTGCTTTGAACTGTCTGTCTAATGTTTGAAGTTTTACTTTGCTTTTGTTTTGTTTGTAAGATGTCTGAGCGTGCATGGAAAGACTCTCTGCTTAGTATGTAGCTCTATCATGTTGCTATTTGCAAGCTGCAAGCCGGATGACTTGTTCACCATGGTTTCTGCGATTTGGTTTGTTGCACCCCACATTCTTGGCATCAACATCGCGGCATCACGTTCACATCATTGCTTTCACGGCATCATCGCGAGCGCAACATGGTCTATCATCGTCGCAGCGGTGTCATCGAAGAGACGAGTGAGTCTCATATCGAGTGCACAACATTGACCATACTTTTGCCAGACTGTCTTTCGCAGAGATGGTCGAGAAGCTGTTGTCGCTGAAGGCTTTCCAAACTTAGGAGCAAGGATGCTACTAGGGGCTCCTGGCATCGCTACTAGGAACAAGAAACTACTAGTGACAAGTGCCTTACTAGTAGCAACAAGAAGCTACTAGAAACCAAATCATCACACCATCATCACAAGACCGCAGGTTGACCGAGTGTCGAGACGGTGATGAAACGCTTCCAAGTGGGACTCGGGGACTCCATCTTGAAGCCAAAGGACGATGACTCCAAACAAGAAACAGCAGCTGATGACATGTAGTGAGATGTAGTGATGATCGGTCTTCTCTCCTCTGCCCTACCTCTACCTCCTCCTAAGTCTTATCTTCTCTACTCCTACTCTCCTACTCGTCTCCCCTCTTCTCCTCTCTTCGCTTCTCTTTTACTTCTGCTGCTGCCCCTGCTTCTTGGGTTCTCTTGTCGTCCCTCTGCCTACTCAACTCATACTCAGACTTGAACTCATGCTCCAACTCCCCTTCTCTATTCTCTTCCATACTCCTCTTGATACCATTGAGTGCCACTTCATGCCACTTTAAGTCACTTCAAATAGTGGCGCCACTTTATGCCAGAGCGGCGAGACCACTGTGGTTTTTTGGACAACGAAACTCCACAGATTTCAGCTTTGCTCCCACTGCGATCCGGTTTTCCTTCAACCTGCTCCAAACTCTTCCTGGTTTTCGGTCGGATGCGCGATTCTGCTGCGCCTTTCCATGGGCTTTCACCACCATGTGAGTCGCTCCACCTGATCATTGCCGCGAAGCGAGCTCATGTACAACCGGAAGTGTTGACCGGACGGGAGCGGGACATTGCCGAGAAGAAAAAGCAACCAAGGTGGCGAAATCATGGCCGTGCGAATTCATGCTCTTAGGTTGGAGGCCCATCGCGCCGCGCATAGGTTGGAGGCCATTGCCATTGCTCTGAAGTTGGAGGCCATTACTCTTAGGTTGGAGGCCATCGCTCTTAGGTTGGAGGCCATCGCTCTTAGGTTGGAGGCCATCGCTCTTAGGTTGGAGGCCATCGCGCCGCGCATAGGTTGGAGGCCATTGCATGTCCAACAATGTGCCGCCCGCAGAAAGTCATTTCAAGGGATCGAATGGGCTAGCGCCCATTTTACACTTGAGAAAAGCTCTTCGTTAAGTGCGGCTAGACTTGGCCTCCTCCGCATCGCCTTGAATGGTACCTTTTTCACGGCTGATACACAGAAGCATAATGCCAAGGCACACACCACTACATGTAAGTTCTGTGGCGCCGCCGATTCGCAGTTCCATCGCTTCTGGGAATGCCCGGTTTTCGAGGCACATCGGCCTTACCCATGGCTGACAGAGCAGGTACGGGCAGGAGGTTTGCCGAAATGCCTCACTTACCACGGATGGATAGGCCTGCCACAGTCGGTTCGAGAACTGCGTACCCTTTTGCTCAGCCAACCTGACATGACCTCCCACTTCGACTGGCCACCTTTTCGGCCGCTTGATGTGTTTGTCGACGGTACATGCTGCAGACCCACGTGTAGGTATACAAGGGTTGCAGGTTGGTGCCTCGTTGCAGCTGATCCCGAAGACACTGATCAGTGGTGGCCCATTGCCCAAGGCATTGTCCCAGGCTGGAAACAAACCAGCGGCCGAGCTGAAATACTTGCGGCAACTAGTGCCATTCGTTTTGCAATTGCACAAGGAAGCCCAATCAGGATTTGGAGTGATAATGCACAAGTTGTCGATAACCTCACGAAAAGCCTGTGCTCACCCGGGGAACACTCCACGCCGCAACAGGATCAAGACCTGTGGGCACCGCTGTTGGCATTAGCACGTATTGCCACTCCTGATTTTGTGCAGGTCCATAAAGTGGCCAGCCACCAATGTCTTGATCACGCCACTTGGTTAGAACGCTGGATATTCACCGGCAACAACAATGCCGATCATGGTGCTCATCATAGCACCATGCATCCAAATAACGTGTTCCATAAGTGGAAACAAGCGGTTGCTGATCTGGAGGCAGCAGTCGTGCTCCGGGATCAAATCCACATGACCATCATCCAGGTCAGTGAAGCGGCCATGACACGCACCCAAGATGAACAGCCACCGCCTGATGCACCTCAGAACCCGCCTTTGCCTTTGACAGAAGTGACTTTGGGCATCCTGCCAGACCGACCGCAGACTGCTACAGATAAGTTTGTCGGCCAAGGGTGGGAAAGGGTTGCCGAGTGGTCCAGAACTTTCCAAAGTGCACAGGCTCCGGTCGTTCACATCCCGTGGCTGTATGTGCTCATTGATTTTGTTTTGACCACCAACAGTGGAGGTGTCAAGCCCAAGCGTAAGTACACGGACTGGGAATGGTTGTCCCAAACGGCTGCTAGACAATTTGCTATCCGAGAGAGAGTGCGCTGGCTCCGCATCTTTCTCATTCGAATACACAAACTTGAACAGATCAAGCTCACCACGCATTACGTTCGCCCCACCACCCGGGTGACGACCTTTTGGGCCCACTGCCTCAGTGTCAAGATGTCCCCACACCGCTTGCAACGTGTGGAAGAGAAGATACAGCAGCACAAGGCTGCTCTTACCAATGGTACAGATCTCGAAGCCATCGAGCTTTAGGGATTTTCCAGGGATCAAGGCATCCCCCGCGAAAGCTGCGGAGCCTGAGCCAATCGGAAAATCGGAAAATTGGAGGCCATCGCTCTTAGGTTGGAGGCCATCGCTCTTAGGTTGGAGGCCATCGCGCCGCGCATAGGTTGGAGGCCATTGCCATTGCTCTTAAGTTGGAGGCCATTACTCTTAGGTTGGAGGCCATCGCTCTTAGGTTGGAGGCCATCGCTCTTAGGTTGGAGGCCATCGCGCCGCGCATAGGTTGGAGGCCATTGCCATTGCTCTTAAGTTGGAGGCCATTACTCTTAGGTTGAAGGCCATCGCTCTTAGGGTGGAGGCCATCGCTCTGAGGGTGGAGGCCATCGCTAGTGGGGTGGAGGCCATCGCTAGTAGGGTGGAGGTCATCGATAGTAGGTTGGAAGGCTGCGCCTGCATGTTCCTTTCCTCTGAAGGCCACAACCACAACGCCCTCGCCACCTTGTCCTCACGGATATTTTGATCCAGTGAGTCATGGTGTATCCATCCTCCCTGTCCGTTTCGGCTTCAGTTTTGGCTTGGTCTAAATCGTTCCAGTAAACTGTGTCGTCGAGGTAAATCGTAAATGGAATTCCATTGTGGAAGCTCCAACAGTATCTCCTCTTATTCTCTAAGCATGGAAATCTCCTACAGCATCCCTTCTACTAGCTCCAAGTTCGAGAATCAACCATGGCGTGTTTTGAAAGAAGAACCCTCGGTCCTCCAGGAAGTCCATATTCAGATCCCCTTCCTTTCTCCATCATCTCCACATTCTTCTTCGCCTTAAACGCCGCCAAACACCAACTGGTGACGTAGAATGATTTTGTGAGGAGAAAAGGAGATGAAAGGAGACGAAAGGGAGACGGATGGATGTGGAGGTGGAGCATTTTTGCATATAAGCATATCGATATTGTCCAGATCCATTTGTGGGGTTCAGCTGTTCTTGGTGATTAAAACACGGAATATCTTGACTTGTTGAAACAAGCAAACTATATTAGACCTGTCTTTTCTTTGTTTCTAATGGCGGCCTGCAACTTCCTAGCGATGGCCTTGTCCAAGCCTTCGAGCCCCGTCGAGCCCCGTCCTTCTTATCCCATCCGATGATGCCATAGCAATCGGCGATGTAGACAGGGCACCTGGGAGGCAAAGAAGGTGTTTTGTTGACCCATGAGTCTTTTGCAGAGCTAGAGTTTCAATCATTAGGCATGAGCCGGTCTTGCCTCGTTCAATAGGGCTTCAACAATTTTGTTTTCGAAAATTCAACAGTTTATTGAAGGGTTGCAGGGCTCCTGATGTGGAACTTCAACAGCTAGGTCCAACCAAAAAAAATGTCAACGTGCTTGAAGCATCCCCACTTTGTCAAGGAAAGGAATGTGCCTGCAGACTTTCTGCCAAAGCACATGCCGTGAATACCCAGAGAACCACCCGCTACGGCCGAAATGATCTCCGGCTTCACACCAAGCGTGAAGAAGACCAAGCCTTGGCAGAAAGTGTGAGCGAAAGCAGCAGGCACAACATGTGACTTGTTGAAAAATCCTTAAGTTGTGCCTAAAGCTGTCCATAAAGGGCAAGGATCCTTTTTCGTGAATAGGAGCATTCTCCTAGTAGCTTATTATGTCTAATAGCAAACATTGTTACTACTAGTAAGGCACTTGTTACTAGTAGCGATGCACTTGTTCCTAGTAGCATTCTCCTACTCTCCACTAGAAAATGGTCGAGGCCACAGCAGGAAATATCGATGTGCGCCGCCAGCGGTGCAATCGCCATCGCCAATTTCCCCACGTCGATCTTCGGCCCCGGCACCTGCCATCGATGACGATCGTCGATCCCGATCCCGACACCGTCCTGACCGAAATGCGCCTGGAAAGAGTTTCCCACAGGGCTTGGCCAAGGGTCATTTGGATCACATGTGGATCCGATCTTCCACATGCTGCCCGAAAAGGCAACATAACAAGATCATGTTTGTTAAGCAACTTATGGTTTTTTAATGAATTCATTCACCTTCCCAGCGGTCGCACTGGAACAAAAACAGGTCAGGCCCACCAAAAAGGTGTCAATCGCCCGACGGCCGAGCCCCGCACGGGCTCGCCTCATTCGTCCTGGGCGTCGGGCATGGAAAGGAGGGGTCGGTCACCGGAATGGGGAAAGGTCCGTGGGCTCACGACTCAAAACAGGCTCAAAAGAAATGCGTGTTGATTCTTTAAATCCTTTTAAGCTGTCCTAAGTCTTATCCTAGCGTGCTCTCTGCAGCTCGCATCGCGTACGCCCGCTCTTTTCAAGCAACTGTCAACTGGCGAAGCACTTCGCTGACCTTTGCACGAAGCTCTTCAGGGCGCCAGATCAACTCAAAGCCTTCAGTATCAATGCCTGCAAAATTTACAAGCACTACACATAGAACTCACAGAACATTTTGAACAAGGGCATCCCTATTAATTAGCAGCAAGGGCATCGCTACTAGGAGCAAGGACGCTACTAGGAGCTCCTGGCCTTACTACTAGGAACAAGACGCTACTAGTAACAAAGGCATCGCTACAAGGAACAAGAAGCTACTAGCGGCTCCTGGCCTTAC